AACACGGGACAGCGTGCACCTGCAGCTGGATCCCAACACGGGACAGCGTGCACCTGCAGCTTGATCCCAACACGGGACAGCGTGCACCTGCAGCTGTAGCAGCAGTTTAAAAAGTAGCACCACGTGCTGAACATGCTTCTTTTGCGTCTCTTTACTTTGACTCAACCTTTTCTACCTGCTGTTCTGTGCTGTATACTGAAAGCTGTTGTTTCCCCGTCAGCAGCAGGATGGCTCATGAAGAAAAGAATTCGCTGCCTCCAGCAGGGACGCTCTCTGAGGGACAGCGACAGTCCCTCTTTAAGATGGAGCCCAAGACTCTAGGGGTAAAGAAAACCATTCAAAGTCTGTGACGTGTGCATAGGAACAGATGTCTGTTTATATATAACACTTGGGTATTTTCAAAGCAATATTTGGGGACATATTCAGCGCATTTTTCCTCATTAAGAAGTTTCAAATGTGTTGCATGATGTGCTGATGACTTTTTCTGGCGGCTCTTCTCAGGCCATCCAGATTGTTATCGGGATTTTGATCCTTTGTCTGAGCGCGTCTGTGCTCCAGGTTCACGAAGTCCACTTTACCGGAGATGTGGCGCTCTTCCTCATCGTTGTCATACAGGTCAGTGTGGCGAAAGCTCCAGCAGCTCCTTTTAGATTTGCTCAGGTCATCTTTTCATGTTATACTCATCAGCTGACTTCACTGTAATGCACCAGGTGACTGTGTCTGGGTCAGTGCTGGTCCACAGTGGGAGGAGACCGACTCTTTTCTGGGTGAGTCTGTGCCGTGCATGAAAATGCATTTCTGCATCCAAAGTCAGCAAAAACAGCTGTTCAGGGTTGCTTGTATGTAACTATATTTGCATTGCAGAAATTCTTTTCTGCAGTCGCTGCACCCTGTGCAGTCTGGTCTTGTTTTGTGATAATTTAGTTGTCCTAAAAATGATCTGCTTTTTAAATTTCTACTTGATTTATTATCCTAAAATCTATTTCTAATCGGTGTATTTTGTGCTGATTTAGGATCTCTTAGTTAGTTTTAGGGGAACTTATGATATCAAGCTGAAGAATCTTTAGATATGTAGTACTTTACAAACAAACTGTCACGTTTCGGCTGTGTGCAGGCAGGAAGGACCCAAAATGCAGGACTCGGAGGCAGATGTAAACTCAAAACACGCAGCTTTGTTGCTGGGCAGAAAAGGAACACAAACTTAACTAAACTAAGAATACAGAAATAAACTAAGCAGACAGGCAGGCTCAAGTTAACACACA